CTAGTGATGCTTGCAGACGTGCGATTTGCTTATCTTTAAACTCAATATCATGCTGCAATGCTGTCACACGGTTCTCTAGCTGTAGACATCGTTTCGTTACCGTTAAAGTATGTGCGAGTTTGCGTGAACGCGGTAAGGCTAACCAACTCTCATAATTGTTTAAAGCGTTCACAGATGTAGGTGCAGTTTGTGAGCCACTAGGACCACCACTGACTGCATTCGTCACAGCCACAGGAGCAGCAAGTGAGATCTGCCCATCACTCTGCTGCGCCAAGTTCGATATAAATAACTCTGATTCCAACTCAAGATCTGAAAGTGTCTTAAGCTTTTCTTCTGCTGCTTTAAGACATGCCTCAAGTTCCATCACACGTTGACTGTTTTTTAATTTTAATTCATAATATTCCGATTTTAATATGTCTAATTTTTGTTCCGAGCATTCTGCACTCGTCTTGTACCGCTCTGCTTCCATTTCCGCCTCACGCAACCGAACCGAAAGCCGCGTGGCCTCTTCCGTTTTTATAGAAGCAGTTAATTTTGCGGTGAGAAACTGTTCCTGATCCATATAAGCATTACGCAGTCTGGCTTCCAAATCACGTGATTTGCCTTCTAACTCCACAACCGTACTGCCGCGCTGTTCTGCTTCTTGTAGTTGACGACGAAACGATTGCCTCTCCGCCTCCACAACAGCCTCTAATTCCTTCAATCGCTGTTGCAATTCCTTGTTTTCACCGGTGAGACGTGCCGTTTCTGTTGCCAATTCTGTTGCCCGTTTCACTGCTGTATCCTTTGAGGCCCGCATCGTTCCCAGCTGTTGATAGATACCAAGTCTCACCGTATCGAGGAGATCCCGCTTTCCCTCTTCTAACGAGTCAATCGCATGATACTCCTCCTCCGTCACGGGGTTCATCAACTCCATTCGTATTTGCGACTTGAGACGATCCACCTGCGACTGCGTGGCGGCGAACTGCTGCTGCAGACGAAGTGTGAGTGCCGACACCTCCACCTCTCGTCCCCGCAGTCGTGTGTTCTCCTCCTGCAGAATTCGAATCTCATCCTTCTGCCGCTCAATCCGCTGCAGCAAATCACGCGAGGAACTTGGCAGACCGACGAGTACCGACGGGGTGCCGCCACTTCCATCCGTAACACTTGTGGCATCATCCGTGAGACTCGACGTTGTGGCCGGCGACGACGACAAGCGACGCTGACGGGGCGCAGGAGTCGCCATCGACATGCGGTGTGAACCCTCACAAGGATAAATACACTTAGAAAGACAGAGAGAGAGAGAGAAAAAAGTAGACATATTAACAAGTAGATAGATAGAGAGAGTATTCTACTGCACCAACCAGTGGGCAAGAACACAGGCCACAACATAACCAACAACAAGAATAATAATAAAAAGAAATGAATAACAGAGAATGGTGAGGGCGGAGTACGAAACACCCAGAACTGCTGTAGACCCTCTACACCACATCACTCCATTATATTATTACCCATAAAAGTAGAAAAGAAAAGAAAAAAAAAAAGATACCCACGCACCCCAGCAGCTGTTCCCCGTGGTTCCAAAGCCTCAACAGTAAGTCTTTGGGGTTCAGCCCGGCACGTGTTGCAAGAAGAAAAAGATCATTTACCAGTGTGTACTCCACCCAAGAAGAACACTCATAAAAACAAGGAAAAGCAATGCTTTAAAAACCCCTTGTTTCCCCCGCTCACATGTACACACAAAGAAAAGAAAACAAACTTTCATATGATTCACCAACGTCTGTTCATGCAGTCATTGTGATCAAGTAATACGGAACATCACAATGACATTGATCAAAAACAGATGAGGGATCACATATAACTCAATAAAGCAATTTAATTAAAGCCCAAAGGAAATTAAAGTGATGTGTAGAAACAAAACAAAAAAAAAGAAATCGTATTATCGCGTTCCACACAAATGTATATAAGAGGCTGACCTCATGGCGCCATTATCACAGAGAGTGTCAAGAGAGCAAACATAACACTCGCAAAAGCGGAAGCTTTAAAAGAACCATCAGTGCCTTTTTTCGCAGCAGCATTATTATTCTGGCCATTCAAAAAGGAGGTAATGTTTTCTTCCTTAGTTTCGCTGGGTTTCGATTCTTTAGTCGTACTTGTCTCATTTTGTACCACTGGCACAGACACTCCCTGGTTACCAGCATTATTACTTGCAGCAGCACTTTCACTTGGTTTTGCGGTTTCAGTGACCTCAGTGGATTCTGGTTCACTTGTTTGAACTTCTTCAACAATGTCTGGGTCTGTTGCTGGACCTTGTGATTCATCCAGAGTTTTGTTGATTGTATTGCACACATCAGCGTATTTGGGGCACACAATTTTACCCTGAAGCACACTCTCCTTCACAGTTAGATTTTTTCCTTCAGGACAATTGTACCACTTATCGTTTCCATTGTACCGCACAATTACCTTGTTGAACTTGCAAGACACCTCCACACACACGGCACCAACTGCTGCTTTTTTGTCAGTCTTTAGATCCTTACCCTCCACACAACGTGAGTTGATACCAATCTTACTTTCAGGCATTTTGCTCTGCACACCATTGATGCAACTGTAACCCACCTTTGCCTTAATAAACGGGCAATAATCCATTTGTTCAGATTCTTCTGAACCAACCTTATTGTTCTCTGAAAAGTATTGGAACTGCTTTGGTATTCCCTTATTAACGAGTTTTGCTTCGATGCTGCTGCAACTCCCCATCGACTGGCGGTCAGATGTGCACTGCAGTGACTCAGTACCCACAGTGGATTTGGTTGTGCAGAACATATTGGAGAACTTCGTTTCACCGCTGTTAACGCACTTGTTATTCAAGAATTCACAGTTAGAGTTATTGCCCCAACTCATCTGCTCTGCCATTGTCCAATTAACTTTGTAGTAGCCCAGATCAGCGAAAGCTCCCAATGTAATTGCGGTGTAGTACCCAGCACCGACGAGACCAACCATTAACTCATCCTTTGCAATACGACGACTCCAGTGAGACCGTGTCATGACACCTTCGTTGTATTCATTGTTTGGAAGAACTGTAGTTGTCTTAACAATACACTCTTCATCCGTCGCAGTATCACCTTCTTCATTAGTAGTGCATTTGTTTGGAGATTCTGCAACTGTAGCTTGAAGGTATAGTGAACGTCTTTTCGACAACACATCTGATGAATGATGTACATTGTGTGTAAACTTGGCAGCACTGGAACCCTCTTCTTCACGTCTCTCTTGCACATCACTGCCAACAGACTCCTCCCCTGTCAAACGATCATCCATAACATTACTGTGTGATTCTCCCACCTCATTATCTTCTTGTACACTTGCAACCTGAGCGAGGATGGCTGCTGCTTGTACGGGTAAAGCTGGTACTTGCACAAACGCCATGTTTTGTAATTCCATACCCTTGAGTGTATCACAGTTATACTGTTTCATGGCCTCTCTCCGTGTGTTGTCAGAGGCAACAACAAAAAATGCTGCCTTATCACTCGTAGAATTAACTTTACCCACCATATCTTTCATTTCCATCTCAGGGAGATTGAATCCAAGTGCATGGGCAATCTCATGAGCAGCAACGCGGACACGCTGTGGTGTGGCCACAATATACCGTGGACCGTAATTAATGATCCCAATAACTGGACGGCCATTGGAACTTAATGTCGCACATGTTGCCGCCCACGCGAATGCTCCGTCAGTTGTCGGCTGTGCAGCAGCAAACAACACCATATCAGTGGTGAAGGATTTTTCCCGTTCATCATCTTGTGACATGAACTGGTAACAAAGACCATCATTCTTAGAGAACTGCGGCACGACAATAGGACCCTTCAAAGGTTTAACAAAAAGGCGTTCCTTGTGCAGTTCAATTGCCTCAGGAAGAATCTTTTTAACAAGAATTTCCTCTTTCTCTGGCGTCAAAACATCATCTTCTGTGCAAGGAAATTCTTTCTTCAATAAGGTATCAATCTTACGACCAACACTACCAGAACAGTTTTGACCCTTTTTCAAATAATCAGTAACAAGTTCAATGCGAATGGGTTTCCATTCTTCCCCAACCGGTTCTTCTCTGCCTGAAGGAGTTGTTTGATCTTCTGCAAAACGAGTGGTTTGATTCTTCCTTTTGCCCAGCATTTTCTGAAACATTTCACCGTTTGGTGTGGTACCAACACGCAAAGCAACAGTATCAAACATACAGCGGTGGTGCTCTGTCACAGCAAGAGTGACAAGGGTGCAGTACAGAAGGAGCAACGGAGCAAACAAGAAGAGACGCCGCATTCCTTCACGTGTAATCTTGAAGGGTTTGTGTATTTGTGTGTCTATGTATGCAGAAAAGAAGAAAAAGAAACATTGGCAACAGAAAATCAAATGCAGGATTGTCAAGCATAGAAGGAAAATGAAGGAGGAAATGGGAAACCATAACCCCACCCATAAAAAAAGAAAAAGAGAGACACACATGAAAGTAACAGAGAGCCACTGTCAAGCAGACTGTGGATACGCACAATGAACACGTGGCGGGGCCGCATCAGCCCCACTGCACGGGCACAGGCGGTGGGAGGGGGTTGTGTCAGAAACGCACAG